CTAGGCTGGAGTGCAAGTGGCACAATCTCTGTTCACTGCAACCTCCGCCTCCCGGGTTCAAGCAATTCTCCTGCCTCAGCCTCCCGAGTAGCTGGGACTACAGGCGCACACCACCGCGCCCAGCTAGTTTTTGTATTTTTAGTAGAGACAGGGTTTCACCATGTTGGCCAGGATGGTCTCGATCTCTTGACTTCATGATCCACCCGCCTCGGCCTCCCAAAGTGCTGGGATTACAGGTTTGAGCCACGGCGCCCGGCCCATTTTGAATGTTTTTAACAAAACTTTCACCACTTAAAAAAGTATAGGATCAACTAATTGTGCTATTACTAAAGGCATAAGAGGATTCTAAAAATATATATATAAGGTTGAATGATGAACTTATTATAATCATATTTGACAATTACTTTTAAAGGAGATATTCTCAAAGATCCAAATTTGAGGCCCTTGTGATGGTGAGGTCCAGAGGAAAAGGGTCTCTTGATCCTTGCTGCTATGGTCCTTAAATATCCTTTGGAGTTAGCCTCAAATCTAATACAAACCCTTTGGTAATTTGAAATATTATACGAGTAACTGAAGTTAATTTCTCCAACACTTATTATTACCTTCTAATATTTATAATAATCTATTTAGACTGTTAGGATTAGAAACGACCTCACTGAAATGATCTCTCCTCTGATGCTCCCTTCTTACCAAAGGAAAAGCTGAGGACAAGGGGATAAAGGTAATTTGCCCTAAATTACACAGCAACTCAGTGACTGGGATTAGATTAGAACCCAGAAATGAGTCCTGGTTCAGTGGGCTTGCAAAGGCAAGTGATGTCATTGTAACCACCCAGTGGGTTCACCTTGCCCGCCACCTAAACAGAGCCCATTTATCAAGACAGGGGAATTGTAATGGAGAAAGAGTAATTCACACTGAGCCAGCTGTGCAGGAAACTGGAGCTTTATTATTATTCAAATTAGTCTCCTTGAGCATTTGGGAATCAGAGTTAAGGACAACTGGTGGGTGGGGGTAGCCAGTGAGCCAGGAGTGCTGATTGGTTAGGTGGGAGCTGAAATAATGGGAAGTTGAAGCTGTCCTCTGGCACTGAGTTAGTTTTCTGGTGGGGGCCGTAAGATCAGGTGAGCCGGTTTATTGATCTGGGTGGTACCAGCTGATCCATTAAGAGGAGTCTGCAGAATATCTCAAGCACTGATCTTATGAGCAGTTTAGGGAGAGTCAGAATCTTGGATTCCAGCTGCGTGACTCCTAAACCATTATTTCTAATCTTGTGGCTAATTTGTTAATCCTCTTAAGGCAGTCTAGTCCCCAGGCTAGAAGAAGGTTTGTTTTGGGAAAGGGCTGTTATCATCTTTGTTTTAAACTATAAACTAAATTCCTTCCAAAGTTAGTTCAGCCTATGCCCAGGAAGGAACAAGGACAGCTTGAAGGTTAGAAGCAAGATGGAGTCCATAGGCCGGGCGCGGTGGCTCAAGCCTGTAATCCCAGCACTTTGGGAGGCCGAGGCGGGTGGATCACCAGGTCAAGAGATCGAGACCATCCTGGTCAACATGGTGAAACCCCGTCTCTACTGAAAATACAAAAAATTAGCTGGGCATGGTGGTGCGTGCCTGTAATCCCAGCTACTCAGGAGGCTGA